CTGCAGGATTGTGGTGAGGGTAAGGTCCTCAAAGTCTGTCCATTGGGAACCAACCTGGCAAGGACTGGGGTGGTGTGGGCGAAGACGCAGGTGAGGACACCTTACCTGACTCAAAAGGCTCAAAGTCGAGGCTCACACTCCAGTCCGGGGAGGGTGGGGGGTTGGTGGGAGAAACATTGAACAGCTTCTGACGGCAGCAAGATGTTAAGAGATTGGAAGTTACTAAAGTAAAAGAGAATTTCTTCTGGTGTCCTGGCCAACAGTCCTCCAGATTAATTGGTCATTTTCCACACAGCCATTGGTAGAATCTTCCTGGTGCAAATGGCTGCCTCATTGCCCTACAGAAAGTCATTAAACTTGACAGCAACTATCTGAAGCACATTTGAGACACTGGTGAGATACTTTCTGCTCCCCTCATTAGTTAACCATGAAAAATCCTTACCATATTTCATCATGTATTATTATTATTATTATCATTTCAGTTTTGCTTTTACAACAACAACAAAATTACATTTGTATAGTGCCTTTCATGTCAGGAGGATTTTACACCTGTCTTTTGACATTACAAATGAACAGACAACTCAGGAATAAGATTATATATCCTTTTGAAATGAGGAATATTCTCCAGCCACAACTCAAAAGAAAACTCAATTTACAGTTCACTATGAAATGTAGTTCCAAGTAGTAAAGTAATGGAGATATTGCAATAAAAATGTCCTCCTTACAAAGGACAAGGGAGGCAAGATAGAGAACTTTGCAGAACAGAAATAATTATGAGTTATATATAATTATGAGTTATAATTGAGTAATCCCAAGGTATGGGGTTGAGTGCATTAAAAATACTTCTACATTAATAGTGATCTATATAGCAGGATAGATTTGGAACACGTACTCCAGTATGAATTTTCCTTCATCAATTTGCTTCAATTTCTAATGCATACTAAAACAGGTAAGAGCTGCAATGAGCCCACAAGCAGGAAAGTGCCCATTAGACCTTACCCATTAGGCACAGATTAGGGCATAGATCTCTTACTGGAACTGGAATTGGAATTGGAACTGGAATTGGGCTTGAAATAGAGTCACCAAAAGTTGAAAATGTTTACACAGTGAAAAGGCTTAGATGAGACCTTCAACACATGATTTTTTTTTAAAAAGGCATCCCCAGATACAGGACAAGAGGGCACAAGTTCAGGAAGTCTATGGCAATTTTTTGCCAAACAGCAGAAGATGTTTCTTTACAGGTGGTAAGCAGGAAGTCACTGGGCTACCAGTAAGGGTGTTTGAACCCAGGACACCAGACTCATTCAAGAAATCGCTTGATTCTGTATTAGGAAGATGATAGAGCTGGAATTCTGGAAGAATCAGATCAAATGACCCAAAGGTCCTTTACTGAAAGTCCTCTTGTGTTTTGTTAAGATACGGGAGATCTTTATGCAGAGCTTTCTCCAAGAACTGGTGTACCCATGTGAAATTATGATGATAATCCTTGCATTTGATATAGCACCTTATCATATCATTGAGACATCTCAAAGTGCTTCATAGAATGTACTCAATCGGCTTTACAGTACAATCTCTGAGGCGATTTGAGACGTCTCAACAACGGGATAAAGCGCTATATCAAATGCGAGGATTATTATTACAGATCTCCCACAGCCCTGTAGGTAAACAGCCCTCCCGGCCAAATAATAATAATCCTTGCATTTGATATAGCGCTTTTCACGTCTTCTAGACGTCCCAAAGCGCTTCACAGAATATACTGTAAAGTGAATTGACTGTATATTTGTGGGCAAAATGATAGAATTGCTTGTTCATTTCACAGTTGTTTGTGGGTTCATCACAAATCAGCTGCCACAATGACCCACAAAATATGATCACTACATTTTACAGTGAATCCTGTGAAGAACTTTAAGACATTCTCCCGACGTGAAGGCATGATGCCAAATGTAAGGATTATTATATTATAATATCTGCAAGCATGAGATTCATTTACATATGTATACAGATGACATTCAAGTCTCTGTCTCTGCATCTACCCTCAATTCTAGGAAACCCTCATTCACACTTTTCCAACATATCCCTCACTCCCTAGTCCTATAAACTAAAACTGATCTAAAAGTTTACTCCCTGCGTCCTCGCCCACCCTAGTCCTTGCCAGACTCCTCTGATTCCCAATGGACAGATTTCTTGGACCTTACCCTTACCAAAAAATCTCCTCGAGCACTAAAACCACCTATGACTTTATGACTTTCTCCTATCCCCACTCAGCTGAAAGCTGAATCTTCAACTAGTATAACCATAAACTCTGGAACACCCTTAATCTACCTTCTGTCCTGCCCCCCTCTATCTGCCCCCACCTAAAATAATAAATAAAATATAATAATTTGGTCACTCAATCCACAACTGTTTGTGGGACACTGCTGTGCACAATTGGCTGCCGCATTTCACCCACAAAAGATAGTCAATTCACTTAGATCCACTATATTCTGTGAAGCGCTTTGAGACATCCTGAAGACATGATAAGGTGCTATATTGCAAGGATTATTGTTAAAAATCTCTCTCCCACCACGCTTACGGACACCTGCCCCTTCTCCCTTGCTCTGAGTTCGACCTCATGCTTGTGAAGTGCACTATATAAATGCAGGTTATTATTATTCTTTGCTTTTATTTGATTATACAAGTTCTCCTGATTGACTCCACTATTTAAAAAAAAAATAGGATCAGGCATTCTCCCCAGTTTAGTCACTTTTCTTTAATATCAGAACCACATTTACTTGTTTCCAGTATATTGGAACATCCCCAGTGTTCACTGACTCCATCTTAACCATCATTGCTTCACAAATCTCTCTCGTTTCTCTAAGTACACCGAGAGATAGTTAATCTGTCAGTAAGGGCAGAAGAAGGATGAAAGATCTATTGGATTTCAGCCTCCTGAGACCACCCACCTATAATAAAAATACTCGCATTTGATATAGCGCTTCTAGACGTCTCAAAGCGAAGCGCTTCACAGACTATACTGTAACGTGTACATTTGTGGGCCAAAACGCGGCAGACAATTGCACACAGCAGCGTCTCACAAACAGTCGTGGATTGAAGCGATCAATTTATTATTGTTTTTTTTCTTGAGGGATTACTATCAGGCGTGTGGAATAAGTAAACTTGTCCAAGATTTCGGCCTGGTGGGAATCGAACCAAGGTCTCTCGCTTGTGAATTTCTCCCGGTGTCCTCGTCAACAATCCCCCAAATAAAATTGGTCCCTCACTCCATGGATGTTTGTGCAACATTGCTGTGTGTGATTGGCTGCCATGCTTCACCCACAAAATATACGGTCCAATTCACTTTACAGTATATGCTGTGAAGCATTTTGAGGGAACATGACAACAACAAAATTACATTTGTATAGCGGCTTTCACATCGAAAGGTCGTCACAAGGGGCTGGACAATCAATGTTTCTGACCCGAGCTGGGGGTAAGGATTGGGGAGGGCAGGGGTGGAAGGAGGGTGATCAAAGGCACGGTCGAAGAGGAGGGCCTTGAGACGGGTCTCGAAGAAGGTAAGGGAGGAGCGAGGCGGAGGGACTGCTGGGTGGTTCCAGAGGGTAGGGGCAGAGCATCAGAAGGCCCGCCCAACAATGTTGAGGAGGGCGAGGCAGGAGACACGAAGCAGGCCGGAGGCCGCTGAGCAGAGGGAGCAGGTAGATTGGTAGGGGGGAGCAAGGCCACTGAGGGATTTGAAGGTGAGGATCAGGATCTTGAACTGTATCCTCTGTGTGATGGGAAGCCAGCGGAGTCGGGCGAGGATGGAGGTGATAGTCGCGGAGCCTGGTGCGGGAGAGTCCATGGGCTGTAAAGTTCTGGATGAACTGCGGCCTGTGGAGGGAGGAGTTGGGCAGGCCGACAGGTAAGGCGCTGTATCAAATGCAAGTATTATTATAATAATGTCTGGTATATTAGTAGGTGATGACAGCAGCCTAATGAATAACCATAATGAAAAAGCAACAATGAAGTGAATGAGTGTGATCTCTAGAGCTGAACTGGTTCCAAGGTGACAGGTTTGGCAACAAATTGTCAGCTTGCAGTCAGTTCTCTGTTGTGGTCTTAGCAGCCCAGCTCCAGGCAGTATGCCAAGCCATTGCTGATGACAACCCAGCCAGTCTGGCTCATTAGAAGGATTTAGAGGGGCAGACCAGTAACCTGAGGCAGGGGTTCTTCACACCCAGCTTCTATTAACCCTGCAAACCTAATGGGTCCTAGCTGGACAAACCAGACAGCGATTCCAAAGGCAAGCTATGTGGTATTAGCTGATTAAACTCAAGCAGTACCCCCATCTCACACTCAGAGGCCCACAAGCCTTGGCTCTTACCAGCCTATGTCTAATACTTTCCACAATTGAATTAGCAAGATGCATCCCTCCATGGAAATTTTTTGTATCCCATTCCTATGATCTTGGGAATTTCCAAGTCCACGCGGGATGGAACTCGGTTTTGTTTGGACGCTCTAAAGCATGGTGATTGGTTTCTGCATGTGTCAAACATCCAACTGATAAAAAAAAACAACAAATTGCTTTTATTTAATATGTTTCACATCGAGAGGTCATCCCAAGGCTCTGAAAAGCCACCAGGAGAAACTCCCATCTTTTCATATAGCACCGTGGGTTTCTTTAACATCCATCCTGAACAGGCAGACAGGACCTTGGTTTCAATTACTCACCTACATTGGAGTGTCAGCCTATAGCATGACCCCAAAGTCTAACAACATGTCTCAAGAGGCAAGAGGACTACAACTGAGACAGCTTGACACCTCAACTCAAATGTCTCTGCATTAAACACTATGGACATGTCACTTGGCATGATTATGCCAAATAAGGTCCGAGTAGAGATGTTTATTACTAAATGTCTTATTTATACACAACCAACTCCAGTTTGTCTTGTCTATTTTTACATGGCTCTCAACGTGACAGTTCTGCATTACACTAGATATGTTAATTCTGCTAATACTCAGGGGTAGAAATTAGAGAGGTAAGGAGGTGCTAGGGTGTGAATGGAAGCCCCTTGAAATCCATCTACAGGGAGATGGTGGAGCTTGTGAGAACTGGGATGATGGGCAGGCTGAGTTTGGTGCAAATGCAGAGTGTTGAATAAGTTGAAGCTTGAGGATGGTGGAACTCAGGAGACCAGTGAAGATGGCATTTGAAAGGTCTAAGTGGGAGATAACAAAGGAACGGTTTTAAGATTAATCTTAATTTGGATTGTTACAATTTGTGTATTTTCCCTGAGCTGAGCTCGGGAGTGGGAAATGGTCAAAAGTTTTGAAGAAGGGTTTCCAGAGCATGTATGTTGAGAGAAGGGTTCTGGGTTTAGCTATGAATACCCTTTTTGTTCCAATAGTCTGTCAACATGCTTCCAAGTGAAGAATATCTAGTTATGGGGGTTAACACCTTCAGGAGAAGGGTGGGGGGAATAAAGGGCAAAGATATTGCATCTCTTAAGTAATTGTTTATGTATTGCGCTTTCTGTATATAGGTATGTGGGGACATCCATGGACAATTCTATGACCTCAAAGAGCTGTTTAAAGTAAGTTCACTGAAATGGAGTTTGAGGCGTCCTGAACTACATTTGTAATTGTGTAGCAATGAAAGCGTGTGATCACTGAAACTCCAAAATTGTACTCCAACCAATTGTACGAATCCATTATTAAAGAATCCATTCGCTAAATCTGCCACCAAGAAACTTGAGTTCCACTTTTGTCTCAAACATTTCTATTCTGTCAAACATTGCAAATGCAGTGGAAGCTGTTTAAACCGGACACCTGAGCTAGCAGAGTTGGGTTGGTGGAATTATTTTGTATTTTGGTTTTGGACCCAGTCTGGCACAAATTCTGGATTACCTGGAGTCTGGTAAGGTGGGGGCTTAACTGAATACATCTTTACATGGGAATGCTTTTACTGTGATTGACACTTGTGGGGGGTTTGATGAGCTGCACCCAAGGCTATTATCCTTGACATCCTCCCGACATGAAAGACGCTATACAAATGTAATTGTGTTGTTCTTGTCAGTGCTGTTGCGAATTAGTCAGCAGGAAGGGTGTGGTGCAATGGGGAAGTTTCTAAGAAAAGCTGACAAATTTTTCCCCAAAGTTAATTTTTCAGCAGCTGTTTGCTTGTTTTCAAATTTGAAACTCCAATTAATGCATTGTCAGTTTTTCTGACCTTTCTCATTGTTGGACATTACAGTATTTATTAAAAGCACAGTGGAAATATTGTCATTTTTAAATCTATGTATTGCAGGTTGGAGGAGATATTCCCGAAACTAACTACTTGTTCATGGGAGATTTTGTGGACCGAGGCTTTTACAGTGTTGAAACATTCTTGCTGCTATTAGCACTAAAGGTAGGTTTCATTCAATAACTGATTTGTTTGTTATTGCTGCTGGTTCATTCCTATTTTGTTAAACTGACCTTAATAGGGTTGATTTGTTTTTAATATAGCTAAATAATATACAAAGTAAAATCTTCTGTTTAGTTAATCATTGAGCAATATGAGAGTGTATGGTTTTTAGTTTTACATTGTGGCTAATCATTCGGTTTTCTGGTTCTGTATGTTCTTATATAAATAGGTCAGCCCTAACATCTCTAACTAATGATAATATTGTCTGTTAATTATATCTGA